TCTTTAAATCTTCAGCGTTTGCCACAAGCCACTTCCGAGGGCACGATCTGGTGTGACGTTTCACGCACCCCACCTCGTCCTTGGGTACCCGTACAGATGCGCAGAGTAGTTTTTGATTCACTGCGTAACCTCTCTCATCCAGGTATTCGAGCCAAAACGGCACTAGTCAGCCAACAATTCGTCTGGCAATCCATGCAAAAGTTGTGCTTAGTTGGGTACGTTGTTGTTTAGCGTGCCAGAAGTCTAAGGTGAACAGACACACTATTAGCCCTCTTGGTACTTTTGGCACTCCCGATGCTAGGCTCGGTCAAATACACTTAAATATAGTGGGATCCATTACCGGCATCTCAAGGTTTTTCCTAACTTCTGACTTGCGTAGATCGTTTTACGCTTTGTTCCTGCGCCCTGGGGAAAGATTTTCTCGCTGTTTCCGTGGTAAATTTTAGGTTACTACCCTGCCCGCAAAAACGCGGGAATAACGCGATATATAGCATGTCATGCAATGCGCACTTTTGGTGCGAAATTATGCACAGATAAGGTCGGGTTGCAACAGGGACTTGCTCGTTTTCCTACGATTCACCCGAAATACCCCATTGTGATTTACTTCAAATTCAGTTACTACTTACCCGTTCATATTCTAGGGACCTGTAGCGTGGCCGATTGTACGGTGAAAGCCGGACAATAGCAGACATTTGCCGGACACCATTTTTATCTAAAATCTAAATATACGCTCACATTTTTACTTCAGTACCAACGCCATGTTACGTTTGTTTTATACGATCGAAAATTGCTGTATCCTTCCGCGAAGGCAACTTTCACTTTTCGCTTTCGCTCCGTTTTGCTTGTTATCGCGCTCGCTGGCTCCCGTGCCTTCCTGCTTTAACGCAAACGATCGATAGCTTTTACCGGTACTTTCTCCGTGCCACGGTACCTCAATAAACGTCTACAACCACAATTCTTCTGGTTTAACCAGCTGCAACTTGGTTGTATTGCACGCTCGGCATTCCCAATCTAAAGCGCGTCACGGCCGCTCGTAGTCGACGTCTCTTCAGACCTGTCATACTCTCATTGCTCCACTCCCATTATATCGAGGAGGAGAAGGAGAAGCACAGTGTGCAGGACTTGCGGTGGAGCCCAGAGCAGTCCAGGTTGTTGCATCACTGAGCTCGGGAGCACTACGGCGCTGCGATAATTGTGTTATTTCGTTCACGTGGACGTAAGTGAGTGCGGTTCTGGAAAAGGAAAACGCACTTCTGATGGCTCCTCGAAGTGACAGTACACGTCTGAGGTTTTGTCAGGATCAAAGCACCAGCTCGCAACCCACCGCTCCGAGCTACCCAGAGTAAGAGATGTGTTGTGGAGAATAAACAT